TTGAGTCAGTCATTCCCTCTCAGTACAACTACCTGAGAGCCAGTGTGGTGTAGTGGTTAAGCGTGGCAGACTCTAATCTGTAGGACTGGGTTTGATTCCACACTCTTCCACATGAAGCTAGCTGGGTGACCTTGGGTCAGTCACAGCTTTCTCAGAGCTCTCTCAGCCACCCAAAATAAATCTAGCTTACCACCTAGTGGTGCATAATGCTAAAAGAGTTAGAATTTAAGGCTGCAGGACAATCTTAGGATCTCCTGGCATACAACACACAATGCCAGATGATGATGATGACGACGACGATGACGACGATGATTAGCACAGCTACCCACAGGGTTGTTGTTGTGAGGATAAAATGGAAGAGGGGACAGTGCTCTTATAAATAAATTTAAATGCCTCCACTTCTCGGCTTCAAAGGTCAGATGATGGGAAACTTGTGGACATGGTTCCAATGTTACTGAAACCAGAACAAAAATGCTGATTAAGCCAGCTCTGGCTTCATTTGTTGTTATGCCTTAAAAGTGGACTTTTTATAGCAGTCCCTGTACATGGTACCATTTCAGAGCACTTTTAGCAGAAGCTGATGATGAATTAACCTATTCCTCCCACTCCTTCTAAATAATGTACTTATGTTTGTACTGAAGAATTTAAAACCTGATGATGCTAACAGAGATGGTATATTAGCCTGCACTTAGCCCTAGATGGTTGAGCTTTGTATTTCAGCTGTACAATCCTGTCTCTAAGGACTAATATGAAGATCCCACTGCCCATGAGATGAAAAATAGTGAGGCTGGTAAGATAATGTAATTTAAGTGGACAGAAAAAGAGCTCCCTACTGAGACTCACTTGTGCACAGGTGTAGTTAAGATCATGAACTCTGCTCTAAGAAGTCCCCAGTTCAAATCTTGCATCAACCACAAACTTATTGGGTGGCCACAGGCAAGCTATTTTCTTTCAGTCTCAGTCTCAGCCAATAATAGGAAATGATAATAATAATCATCATCATCATCAAATATCCTATAGGGTTGTTGTAAGGATTACTGCAGCCATGCACTCAAAGTGCTTTGACAATTCTAAATAATATTATTACAAAGCATATTGGTTTTTTTTAATAAGTATTTTATTTTCAGAGCATAAAATTATACATATATCAACAGACAACAAACAGACATACCTTCATACCTTCCCACCCACTTGTCCCACGATATATACCCAGACATCCACATTGCCAACCACCCTCACCATAAAAAACAAAAACAAAAACAAAGCAGAGTTTCTCCTCTTGGCAATTAATTAATCTCTTGTTCCAACCATCTATATACTGGTGCCCAAACACTTCGAAATAATGTATTCATATTCCCATTCACCTTTTGCGTTAGATTGTCCATCTCAGCTACATCAATTTTATTTATCAACTCCCCTTTTGTTGGTACTCGTTCAGTCTTCCACCCCTTAGCGAGTAGGATTCTCACCGCGGTTGATATATGCATAATTAGGTACTTTTCTTTTTTCTTCCATTTATCAGGATATATATTTAATAGGAACACTTCTGGGTCTAATGGGATTGGTTTTTTGGTTATCTGATATAGCACCTCTTGAACCTCTTTCCAACATTTGTTAACCTCCCTACAGGCCCACCAAACATGATAGAAGGAGCCTAACCGTATCTTACATTTCCAACATTTCGCATCGAGGCCCTCATACATTCGGGCTACTCTATCTGGTGACATGTATCAACGATGAACTATTTTATAGACATTTTCCTTCAACGCTACTGCTTTTAGCCATCTCGTGTTGTTCCATATCTTTTCCCATTTTGACGCATCAACCACTCCTCCCACATTTTCAAGCCATGGCCTCACTGTTGCTTTCATGACCTCATCTTGCAACTCTTGCTTTAAAAGGAGAGCATATATCTTACCAATCATCTTAATATCCTCGCCTAAGAGAATTTTATCTAACTCTGATCTTCCAGAAATGAGACCAATCTGCTTGTCTTTAGCGTATCTGGAACACAACTGATTCTTTTCCCACCATGAGAGTTGTATACCTTGTGCCTCTAATTCATCTTGGGATTTCAATTGGTTGTTGCTATCTAATAATATCTCATAAGTTGATGCTCGAACCTCAGACATTAATGTAGGTTGCACCACCACCTCTAGGGGCGCTATCCATCGGGGTCTCTTAGTGTAAAATGGTACCTTAATCTGATTCCACACTTTTAGTAGACTGGCTCTAATTATATGATGTTTAACGTATGAGTGGGTCTCCTCTTTTTTATCCCAGAGTATTGCGTGCCATCCTACCATCAGGTTGAAGCCTTCCAGGTTAAGCGCTCTTATATTTTTTAGCAAGATCCACTCTCTGAGCCATGCTAAGGCTGCAGCCTGATAATACATTCGCCAGTTCAGAATTGCTAACCCCCCTTTCTGGTTCTTTTCCTGTAAAAATTTTAACCTAATTCTTGGCTTTTTCTTTTGCCAAACAAAATCCCTAACTATTCTGTCCAACCTTTGGAAATATTTAAAATTACGAAGGACTGGGATGGTTTGAAATAAAAATAACACTTTTGGCAACACCGACATTTTGATCGTGGCTGCCCTCCCCATCATTGACAACTGTAACATTGACCACTTATCCAAATCTTTTTTAAGATTGTTCAGTAACGGTTCATAGTTATCTTGAAATAACGTACTTATTCTATTGGTTACATTTATCCCCAAATATTTCAATTTCTTAACCACTTTATACTTTGAAATTTCCTCTATCTCCCGGATGATGTTCTCTCTGCAATTCTTTGTTAACACTTTTGTTTTCTCTGTATTGATTTTGAGACCCGCTACCTGGCCAAATTTGTCAATCGTATTCAGTAGTGGTTTTCATTGAATCTGTTGGATCCCGCATCACAATCGCCATGTCGTCCGCATAGGCCTGTATTTTATATTCTTGCCCTTTGACCTTAATCTCTTTTATATTAACATTGTTTCTAATAGTCTCACACAATCCTTCTATTACTAAGATGAATAACAGGGGGAGAGGGGACAACCTTGACGGGTACCCTTTTCTATTTTTATTTTCTCTGTCATGTCTATATTGACTATAATTTTTGCTTCTTGTTGTTGGTTTATTTATTCTATTGAGGAACTCGTTTCCACAGCCCATCTCTTTTAGGTTCTCATGTAATCCCAGTTTACATTGTCGAACGCCTTCTCGGCATCGAGAAAGGCTATCGCCATCTGCTTGTCTGGATTTAGTTCTCCGTACTCCAAAATATTTAGTATTATCCTCACGTTCTGTCTCAATTGCCTCTTGGGCAAGAACCCTGCCTGGTCTGTGTGTATCAATTGGGCAAGAACCTGTCTCAAACGATGCGCTATAATAGAGGCATAGATTTTATAATCAACGTTTAGCAGGGAAATTGGTCGATAATTTCTTATCTCTTTCTCATCCGATTCTTTCTTATGGATTAAAGATATCGTTGCTGAATTCCAGGAATCTGGTATTTCGCTTATCCCTGCTGACATTAGTTTTTTCATTACTAAGCTAATTTCCTCCTCAAATATTACATAAAATTCTGATGGTAATCCGTCCGGTCTGGGTGATTTGTTTTTCTTCTGTTTCTTAATCACTTGTACTACTTCCGCCATAGTAATTGGCTGCTCTAGATCTTTTTTCTGTTGTTCGTTTGGCTTCTTAATATTTGGATTATTGTTCAGGTATCTCTTGATTTCACTTATTTCTACCTCTTTTTTCTTGTACAGGTTGGCATAGAAATTTTGCACCAATCTTTTAATATCTTTCGGATCACTCATCTCAATACTTTTTTCGTTCTTTAGACTTAATATATTTCTTTTTCTCCTCTTGTTTCAACTTGTATGCCAGCCACTTAGATGTTTTGTTCGCATTCTGGAAGAAGTTCAGTCACGTATATATGATATTTTTTTTAGCTATTTCTTCATTGAGGAGACAGTTGATCTCATGCTGCAATTTTTTAACTTTCAGCCTTGCTTGATCTGATCCTGGATCTGTTCTCAATCCAGGTCTCCTCTTCTTTCAGTTTCTCTTTTAGCTCTTCCAATTTTTGGTTTATCCTTTTCTTTCTGTTTATTGCTTCTCGTATGAAAATTCCCCTGACATAGGCTTTAAAAGCATCCCAGACCGTTGTTAATTTAGTTTCTGGACGTATGTTTATTTGGAAGAATTCCTTTTTTTCCTCTTTTGTTTTGTTTACAAAGTTCTTTTCTTTCAGTAGGAATAGATTGAGTCTCCATCTTATTTGTTTCTGCGTTTCCCATAATGTCACCGACACTGGTTTGTGGTCTGCATAGGACATTGGTTGTAAATCACAGAGCATTGTCACGCTTAGCCAGACCATGTCAATTCGAGACCAGGATCTATGACGTCCCGAATAGTAAGTATATTCCAATTTGTCTGGATTTTTTTGTTCTCCACGCATCCATTATATTGAGGTCTTCTGCCAGTTCTAGAAATGCGGTTGGGAGTTTGCCTCCTCTTCCTTGACGCCTTGCGGTATTCTTCCTCTCAAATGTTTTGTTGTAAACTGCATTCAGGTCTCCTACTAGGCAGATTTCCTCCCCCTCTAGCTGTTTTGTTTCCTGAGCATACGAAAGAATTTCTGTTGCCCCGAATTCGGTGCATACACATTTACCACCAGCATTTTCTTTGCCCCCCTTTTTATGCGGACTATCACCACTCTGCCATCTTTAGAATCAAAAATCAGTTCCAGTTGCGGTGAGTCCTTTACGTATGTCACAACCCCATTTTTCTTTTTATTTTGATCTGATGATGCAAACTTCATTCCTAATTTATTATAGTCTAAATATTTTTGGTGTTCTTTTTTAATATGAGTCTCCTGTAAGCAAACAATTTGTGCTTTGGTTTTTAATAATTGATGGAAAATTCGATTTCGTTTCTGAGGGCTGTTAAGCCCATTAATATTAATTGATATTAAATTAAGACCGTTACTCCTTTTTCCTTCCATTTTATCTATTGCTCTTTTTCTTTCTGTAAAATAATCTGGTACGTACTTGCAGCGGAATCATACTCGTTCTCTTTGGCCTCTTCTCCTGTTTTGCCTCTTGAGTTCGTTTTCCGTCCCTTCCTTCTTGTTTCTCTGGTCCTTCTTCTTCCTCCTCCTCTTCCTCCTCCTCTCCTTGACTTTGGCTTTCCTCTGTTATCGGAATCTCTAGCTCTTCTCCAAATCTTCTTATAAACTCTTCCAGTTTGAAGACCGAGTTTATCTTATGCCATCTTTCCTTATAGTTGAAGGTAATACCTTCCGGTGTCAGCCATTTAAATTTTATCCCTTTCTTTCTTATCGGATTTACTAATTTTTTATACAACTTCCTCTTTTCCCTCTTTCTCCAGGGGACATCCCTCAATATTTTGATTTCCTTTTTGTGTCTCATTAACGGTCTCTGCATAGCAGTTGTCAAAATTTGTTGCCGTAAACTTTTTTTGGCAAACCTTATGTGTACTTCAGGTGGCAATTTGTTTTTTCGAGTATATGTCGTGTTCACGTGATAAATCGCCTCAATGTCATTTTTAACTTTGATCTCATCCTCTTCTTGTATATATTCAGCCAATAATTTGATCACATTTTGTTGTACATCCTCTCCTTCTTGTTCTTCTAAATTTTGGAGTCTTAATATATAAGAAGCCTTATCAATTTCCAATTTGGTCACTGTCTCTTCCAGCGCAGCTATTTTCTGTTCATGTTCTTCTGATTTATCTTCTAAGTTATTCACCACACTTGCCAACTTTTCAATCTGTTTTTTATTTTCAGTCGTTTGTTCCTTGGTTTCCGTCAATTGTAGGTTCAGTTGCTCTGTTAAATTATCAATTTTTCCATGAATTGGTTCCAACGCCTTCTCTACCATAGTATGCATATTAGATTTTATTGCTATGTCTATTGCTGGGGGAATCGCTGCATTCACAGCTGTCTCAACTGACTGATTTACTGCCTTTGCTACCGCCTCCTGTATCATGGCGTTTAGATCTTTTAGATTTACCTGCACCACCTGTGGTTGCCCTGGGGTTGAAAGGGAGAGTCTCCTACCTCCTGAAGCCATATTGCTGTTTCTTGATCTTAAGATCTTTCTTTCTCCCTTTCCGTTTTCCCCCTAATTATCTATTTCCAGATTCCCTATTCAATATATACTAAATCCCACTACCTGCTTAGATCACCCAAAACACAATTCATTACATCAAATCAGTCACAATTCATTCAACATCATATAATTGATCATTTGGCTAATTAATAGTCCTTCTGTGTACTGAATAACAAATAAATTGATTAATAGTCCTTCTAATCCTATGTTCTGCTCTCAGCTTCTCGCCCCTCCGCCAGCCGATCTTCCTCTTTTTTCCCGTCACCTTTACTCAGCAAGTTTCAACCCAGAACTGCGTCTTTTTACCGATATCGTACCATCTCTAAATAGCCATATATATATTACCGTCCCTCTATTGGGTTCTCATGTCCTCTGCTTCCCTTCGATATATTTCGCTCCTTTCCCAATCTCAGTCTGTGCTCCTATTACCGCTCCTATCACCACTCCTGTCTCCGCTGTATCTTCTTCCGCTTTTCCCAACGTCACGCCTTCATTGTACCTCTTCGGCTCACCCCGCTCTTTCTTCTGCTCTTCTCTTAAAGTTATTACGGTACCGTCTCCACAGCAACTCTCAAGCCTGTCTCATTTTGCTGTGCCGTTCTCTGCCGCTTATCCTCTTTAGCGAAAACGCTGGCCTCCAGCTGCTTCCGGACTAACACCGCCAAAGCTCGTCTTGTCTCCGTGGGAATAACTCCCTCTGCCAAAAGTTGGTCACCTTCACCTTCTGTGAGGAGGCTCTGCTGCCCGGTGGCTCCGACTCTGCTCTCAAGCCTGGGAGCGTTTTCTTGGGCTCGGGCCGTTGAGGAAGGAAGGTTCGTGAGCCGCCGGTCGCCACCCGCTGCTCATTCCTCTCGTTCCTCTTACACGGACCCCTCTACAGGGGATTCACAATGGTGTGGGTAAGATTTCTCCTCTCCTTTACCACTCCGGAGCCCCAAGAAATTTGCTTCTTCGGCAGAGCGTTCTCCCTGCCGGACCTCATCCCGTCGCACCAAAACCGGAACAAACAAAGCATATTGTTACAGTAATCTGGTCTGGTTGAAGCCTTTGCCTGTGACAGCAGCCCACACTTTCTCTCACATGATCCCTATTGTGTCAGGGAATGGTCCTCAATGCTCTACCTTGTCAGCTAAGCTGCCAATAGTGTGGTGTGTTTCCCTTTCATTTGCATTCTTTCCCTTGCACTTAATTGCCTCTTCGCTGCAACGCATATCTCTCAAGGCCACTGGAGGAGTTGCTGTGTCTCTGCACAGAAAGAGTTGTGGGAAGCTTCTTAACTGTTTTGCTTTTGCAGCCGTTAGTTCTCAGCCTACTGCCCACGCATGGGAACCCCTGTAATTGGGTACTCCATGGGGGTGGTGTATACAAATGCCCTATAACCCATTATGCGCATAGATCACCCGCCATTCCTAACAGTGTTCATGTTAATGCATCTATAGCTTTTCAATAAAAGTAGAACCTTCCTGGAAGCGTGTACTTCGTTGTTTGGCTGTGGGTCCTGACATTCTGTTAGGAATCCATCATTCCCTATCTCAGCGCATCTATCAACCCAGATATGAGTGACGGAGAGGGGAAACCTTTACCTAAAAATCCCGATAAGGGCAAGGAGACAGATGAGGAGCCCAAGGAGCCAGACGAGGGGGGAACCACCCCGGTATCCACGGCTTCGGCACCGGTGACTACACAACCACCGGCATCGGGAGCAGTGGAGGTGACTGTCTCAAGGTACTCGTCTATGCATCTGTTCCTGACTCCACAAGCCCCAAGGTACCGGGCTGGACAGAGTGGCAGACCCAGTTCTAGCTGGAGCCAGTTCAACCCAGATTCCACAACAGAGACCTATCTACTAACGCCCCCCCCCCGAGAGACAGCTTATATGACAGGGGCCTCGCCACGGTGGCTGGATTACCTCCATTAGAAGCCCAGTTCGAGCCGATCGCTAACCCGTGGGTGACGGAGTGATCGAAGACCCAGAGTGGCCAGGTGTCCCCGGACGAGGGACTGGCCAAGTGCATGGAAGCAGCTGATCGAAACATTCAGCATTTGCAGCAAACTTTAGAGGAGGTCATCATGGCTATCCCAGACTTGGTCACAAGAGCAATTGACGAGGCCTTGGAAAGAAAACCGGCTGCCCCGGCTGTGCTGGCGGGACCACCACTACCCGGGCTGGGGGTGCCAGCGCAACCGGGTGGATTACCAGCTCCGAGGCTGGGAGATGTACCAGCACCTGCACTGAGACCGGCCAGTCCATGAGGCCAGGTGATTCCACGTCCAAAAGACCTGATCGAAGCTACGTTCGATGGCAACACTGATAAACTCCCCTATTTTGTGGTGCGAGTACAGAAGTTCATGGATTGCTCGAGCCACCTGTTTCTGGATGATAGCAGTCGCATTGACGTGGTGGCTGTGCAGCTCCGAGACCCAGCAGCTGCATGGTACGTGGGGCTGCATAATGCTCGGGGGGCCGAGCTCAACGACATGTTTGCTTTCATGTGGGATCTGCGAGCGCAATTCGAAGATCGAAACGTGGGGCCAAGAGCACGAGCGTACTTGTGCATGCTGAAACAAGGACACAGAACGGTTCGAGAATACTCGGCTGACTGCATGCGGCCAAATTGCCTAACTAGCCTGAGAACGTACTGACCAAGATGTACCATGTCGGGTTAAACATGGAGATACGAGAAACGGTCCTGAGGTCGGTCGACCCCATCTCATTCATGGAATGGATGCAGGAGGCAGAGAGTGCCGAGAACCGCTTACAAACCTTGCGGCTGGATATAGCAGCGGGGGCGGGAAAATTGACCCCTACCCTTCTGAAGCCCAAACCACCCCGGCAACCGGACGCCACGCGGGAGCAACGAATGCGCCAAGGTTTGTGTCTGAAATGTGGAGAACGGGGCCATTTTGTGCCCGACTGCGGGCAACAAGTGCGCAGGGAGAAAGCAGAAGCAGGCAAAGGACGAGCCCCCACTCCCGCGAAGAAACCAAGATTTGCCAAGGATCTACAAGCCTCCCCTGAAGAGGATGAAGGAGACTCGAGCAGTGAGGACCACAAGCCGGCGGGAAACTGATCGGTCCTGCTCTAGACGGCGCGGAACGGCAGGGCCCTCAACTAGAGGCGCCAAATGTGGTGAGTAACCCCCCTTCCCTCTTTTTTGTGACTGTTTCGCTGTTGAACCCAACCCTCGGGACCAACCTGAGAGCAAAGGCTCTTATTGACTCAGGGTGCGGGAGAAACTTGATAAGCCCCTCCTTGGTTGTGGGACTTGAGATTGGGGTGGTGAAATTAAAAGACCCCTTAAATTTCACTCAGATGGATGGGTCCACGATGAAACACGACTGAGTACAGAGTCTTTTGCTGTCGCAGCAGCAATGTCCTTGGCCGAAACAGGCGCCTCCGGCAGTTCCTCAATTGCTAGAACGGAGCAAGTAGGGGCAGGGTCCAAGTCCTGGCCGGGCAGAGGGCAGCGGCTGAGCGCATCAGCATGTCCAATGGCCTTTCCCGGCCGGTGTTCCAGGTCAAATTCATAGGCCGAGAGGAATAATGCCCACCGCAACATGCGTGTGGACATTATGTCAGGGAGTTGCCGGTCCTGGGCAAAAATCCCCAACAAGGGCTTGTGGTCAGTCACAAGGATGAATCTCCTCCCAAACACAAAGTCATGAAATTTCTTAACAGCGGAGACGAGCGCCAAGGCTTCCTTATCGATCTGCGCATAGTTCTTCACCGCTGCTGTCAGTGACCGGGAGTAGAACGCGACGGGGGCCTCCCGTCCATCTGGCATGACATGGCTCAGTACTGCCCCCACCCCAAATGGGGATGCATCAGCAGCCAACACCAGTAGTTTGTCCTCATCATAGTGTGTTAATACCGCGTCAGATGAGAGCAAACCTTTCACCCCCTCAAAAGCGCGCTCATGCTCGGGGCCCCACCTCCATTTTGTGTCCTTATGCAGGAGATTGTGTAATGGGGCAGCAACCGATGCCTTGTGGGGCAGGAAGGCATGGTAAAAATTAAGGAGCCCTAGGAAGGACTGGAGCTCCTTTTTTCCTTGTGGCCGTGGGGCATTTTGAATTGCGGAGACCTTGTCGTTGGTAGGAAGGACCCCAAACTCATCCACCCGAAACCCCA